CTACATTATAAGGCAGTGAATTCCATAAAGTAATCATCACATGAAGAATTTCCTTTCGTTTTCAACATACTGCTCATCAATACTGCATTTGTTGGGTGTCTTCATGGCCAGATAAATTTTTCTATTCGATTTCTCAACACCCTGTATATTGTTATAAACCTCTGGCATGTTCCTTTCATCTAAGCCATTGTTTTTAAAACAATTCTTTAATGTTTCCTCATAGGGAAAATACTCCAGTCCCTTGACCATTTCAATTGTCCTTTCTGCACCATTTCCAGCTCTATAATGTACTGTCTGAGAGATACAGACCAAAAAAGATATTCAACATGCAGCAACAACATATATTCAAGGGCATTAGGATATTGACTATTTTTTATTCTTTTCCTAACCTGTTTCCTAACAATCTCTACCATAGAATTTGTCATTTTTTCACTGCTGTCACATATTGGGTTGGATCCAGGGCATAATTTCTGTTTACACTAGAGATCTTGTGCAAATGGAAACACAAGAAAAAAGACTGTGATAGCCACTTCCACTAGGTCAAACCTATTGTATCCACAGTTGCATTTCTGCTTGTGCAAGAGCTTATGCAACTAATGTCTGGCCACTACAGGGAGGAAAGCACTAGGTGCTTGCTCAACATCTTGCACAAGCTGACCTCTGCTAAGTCCATTTATGCTTGCACATCTCTATAACCAAAACACTGAGCCAACGTTTTCACTGAGGTATCTACCACTACTCCAAGATCTCAGTTCAGAGTCTACTACTGTATATGTTAAATTAGGATTTCACTCAGCCCCTGACATACACTATTCTATATTTAATTACACTGAACTTCATTTGACACTTCACTGCTCACTCAAACAGGGCTTTAACAGATCAGTTCCACTGCAGTCTTTATGCCTCTTCTTCTGCAAAAAACAAAACAAAAACTGTACAAACTTTTGAGCAAGTACAAAAGTATCTTTGAATTCAGTTTCATTTTCCTGTGTGATAGACTGGCACAAGGTGAAAAACAGCCCTTCAGGGAACAGAAGATATCCTTCTCATGCAGCACAGCACTTCTGGATTCAATCCAAAATGTTTCAGGAAATACCAGCCAGGCTAAAATCCTTTTATGTCTGCCTGTCCCAAAAACTCACGAAGGTAACTTTTTTAAAAACAACAACATGCAACTAGGTGCTTTCAATAATCAGAATAAAATCCATAAATTAAAAACTACCTCATATTGGCTTCATTCAAAGCTAAGGACGAAAATTATTTCCAAACCTTTGGAGCAGCAACAAACCACATCTCTATGACTCTGGAGCTGATTTATGGAAGGTGAAGTAAGATGTCACACTTCATCCAAAACAGGGTGCAGGAAAGGAAAGGTTAAAATGAACATCTTTGCCAGCTGTAACATCTTTGCCAAGCACTTGCTTTTTCCTTCCTATTGTATGTATAAAGCTTGGGCGAGGCCAGAGAAATGAGCCTTTGGTGCAAGCTGAAGAACATTCTAGCCCATGGTTTGCAGCCTTTGTTTTAGGATATGACCAGCACTGAATCGAGGACTAGATCAAAACAGAGCCTGCCTTTCCATTTGTTGGCTGGCTGATTTATATTGTATTTTTGTGTTGTTCTTGAGAGCTACTTCAGATCCCTCTGGAGGGAAAAGCAAGGTAAAGATATTTAAATACATAAATGAATGAATGAATGGTGCGCCTCTACACATATCCTAAGTTTCTTTTGCATAAGTCTTTCCCCCTAAGTGTTGTATTCAGGTGTACCATCACTGGGGAAACAAAGCTAAATATGCCCCCCCCCCAAAAAAAAAACACTAGGAAGGAGGGTTCTCCACTTAGAAGATACAATGCATCTGTGTCCCCAGAGTTACACAGAGATCAGCTGCAGTTCCGAGAAGGCTATACAATATATGAGCCATCACTCTCTCACACACACATCACAATTAGGGGTTTCCCCACAATGTTCTGTTAATTGGAAGAACAGAATGTGAAGGGTAAGTACACTTTATAAATGTTTTCTCAGAATGCTGCACAATGCCCACTGAGACAAGTGTTTGTGTGTTGCCTCAGCTTTTAACTCTACCTTACAACTGCACAAACAACGTAAGTACTCTTATAACAATTATTACAAAATCTTACATTGTAACATTGAAATATTAGATTTGCAAAGATGTTACTGATTACATCATCTAGTAATTTCTTCTCCTGATTTCATAACAGAGAGATAAAATTTAAGGGGGAAAAACTGTGGCAGACATAAAGAAATTTAATTTTAAAAGTCAAACACATTGCATGTGATACTGGATAATATGTTGCTCATCCATTACGAACTAGTGAATCACTAAGATACATTATACCTCTATGGTTGAAAAATGCTGAGTGCTGCATTTTCTTTATTAGCATTAAGAATCTCTAAAAAAAACCTTTGGTTATCTACACAAAATCAATAAGGCAACCTCAATATTTTAACTTCGGTGATACAAGTTAGAAAGACTGCCAAAAATATTTCTTTCTTAAAATGGACACAGACATAAGAAATCATTTTAAAGGCTTTAAGTACCACATTTAGACATAGGTCAAAATGTAACACAGGCACACTTGTCCAATGAAATCAGCTACACTGAAGAAAAAGTCTTCTATTTGTAGCTTTAGAGAAAATATGGTAATAAGAGTTTGTTATACAGATCAATGAAATCAGGTCACCTATTACTGTTTACAATAACTAGATTATTACTGTGGCAGACAAACAACAGAGGCAATGAAAACACTGGCTAAAGTTTGATGCAAACATATTTCTATAACTGAGATCCAAAATACATTGCACACATCCAGACACTATCACTGATAGTGAAGTCGGATTATGTCAATTATTTTTAAGCATGAAAAGTGCTTGTCCTTGGGGAATAAACAATAGGTAATTAATTTATTGCCCTGAGCTACCCCCGCCCTTTTCACAAGCAGCCATCCATAGCTATTGAGTACTTACTCCATGTTTGTGAAGAAGCAAGTGTCATAAAATCAGAACAGATTTATGTTCAGAAAATAGAAAGGACAAAGAAAAGACACGAGGCAATTAACATTCTAAGATATATGAGCAACTAAACTGAGCAACAACAAATATTCTGGTTTGAATGATGCCTATATTGCTGATGGCAGCTCTCCCAGCCACTCTTCTACCTGTGCAAGGTACATTTTTGGTGAAAAGGGAAACACTGGTGGCCAGAAGGGATTTTTTTTAGTTCAAATGAAAATACATTTTATTATTTATTTAGTACATCTTTATGCCATTCCTCCAAGAAGACAGAGGTTAGTGGTAGTGATGGAAAATGGCTGCATGACTTTACTAGCTGGTCTGAATTCTGGCTTGTTTTATAAAGTGAGGGAAGCGAATTTCTAAGTCTTCCACCCCTTTTAAATGTGATGCCACTGCCTTGACTCCATCTGTTGTGCACATAATTAAAAGCCCATTCTATGTTAACTAACAGGGGCAAAATACATGCCCAAGTTTTGCACTCCCCCCCCCCCAAGCGAGGACGTAGTGATGATCTATTGTGTAAATCAACTACACCAGGTATCTCACTGTACATGTAATGGGCAAGTCACATTTTTCATGTTTACATCAGAAAATGTTGCTAGTCACTTTGGTTTACTATTTACCTGCTTCCAGGAAATGCATGAATCTACTGTGAAAGTGGATTGCCTCCATTCTTTAAACGTATGCTTCAGAGTTGTGGGAACTCCGCTACTAATTATTATTTGGGACAAAAATGAAATAAAAAAGTGCTAGATATTCCAGGATATTTTGTAGTAAAGATGTGATCTTGTGCATATATTACTCTTTTTAAAGGAACTACTTCGGTTTCCGTTTAATCCCCCCCCCCCGCTTCGGTTTGTTTTTCCCCAAAGAAATCAACTTAACTGATTATCTGTTGACAAAACTAGGCCTTAATGTTGCAGATATTAGAAACAGCAGTCCATGCCAATTAGACTGGTTAGTAAAACATTTGTCTAAAAACCCTCATATTTGAGTATTCCTGCACCTGAATCTAATACCCTTAATACTATTCAGGTTAAACGGAATCATGTACAGTGCAGTGCTATGCAGAGTAACTCCATTCAAACCACACTGAAATCAATGGGCTTAGACTAGAATAACTCTGCATAGGAATGCACTGTTATGTTAAAAAAACCCAAAAAAACACTTCCTCGTTTGTGATTCTTAAAGAAATGCATTGCCTGAGGAAAGAATCTTAATGTTCTGAAATAAATGAGAGTTGTGCTAATAATTACAATAGAAAAAACCACTGGATTTATTCAGCTTTATACAAGATTATCACTGAAATGACACTGGTGCTGTAGTACCAGCCTCTGAGAATGACACTGCAAAGAGCATTAGACAAAGTAGTTTTCCTTTGAAATTTATTTCTACATCTACAGATAGTAAAGAGTAATTCTTATCTTAAGATGGGGAAAGCACAAGTAAACATGTTTGGGTGGGTGTTACTTTTTAACTGTAATTTAAAAAAACACAATAAAGACTGATGTATAGGAATGTATACATTTATTTATATTTTGTATATGTATATGTATATATATATATATATGATGTGAAATATATTTACAAGAATACAACAGTTTGCTAGCTGGAGCTGTGTATATAAGGAAGCTCTTCATGCTTTTGAAAGAACTGAACACACAGTAACACAATTAATGCATATTAAATAAGATCCTTCTTACAGAATAAATGAATTTGTCAGATGAAGACAGTTCCTCTATAAGTGCTACTGCTTTATCCTTCAGTAGGTACCTTGGGACTCTTTGAGTTTTGTCCTGTGTAAGCAAGCAAGTGGCCTAGCTGGCCCGTTATGGTTCTCAGCTCCTTTACAGCACTACCTACCTCCTCTTTTAATTCTCTTAGCTCAGAAATTAAGATATCCATTTTAGAAAAACCATGAGAAGAAGGCCTAATATGAAAAGATCCATCTGGAGACGGACCTGTAATTAAAGGAATTCCAGGAAAAGCAAGTCCAGATGTTGGTGAGATAGCAAAAGATGGCAAAGGTCCAGATGAAGGAAATCCAGCAGAAGATACTCGTTCCTCATCACAAGGTGGAGCAGGTGGTAGAGGAAGAACAGGTGAAGGGGATCCAAGTGCTTCAGTTTTAATGATAAGTTGTGGTTCTAATTGTTGGTTGGTGATGAATGCAGGAGAACCATAGGAAAATGAACACGATGAAGTAACTGTAAAATGAAAATTCATTTATTTGTACACATCTCTACCTATATTAAATGTTCCAGAACATATGAAGTTACAAACAATACTAGTAAGTAAAAGCACCATACTATTCTTTTTTTACTCTTCAGCAGGTATGTTGTTCTAGTCTAACTTTTAGTAGCCAATTTACCTTTTGACAAACTGTATGAGAGTAATGTGTGTCATTCACTACAAAGTAATAAAAAACCGATACAGGGATCTTCTTTAAACCATGCCAGCTCTTTTTATAGGTCCCCTGCATTGCAGCGAGTGAAGCCTGTTACATGTAACTGAAGCCATGGACAAGACTGATTGTTCTACAAACCTGAGAAAAGCCCCACATTTGCAGAAAAATCCGACCTTAAAAAAATAAAATAATAAATAACCCTCTCCCCTTCCAATAAAAACAGGGCCTGTACTTTAAAGAAAGGAAATCTCTGTGGTCATTGTGGTGGTTGCCAAGCAACCATAACACTATTGCCAGCCTTCAAACCTTGGTTACTGCCATTAACAGGCAGGGGGAGTCCTACAAAGGGCTATTCTGGCCTCCCAGTCTACACCTGCTCCCCTCCCTCCTGCCTTGGAGGAAGGACTCATTAAGGTCAGGCTAAGCTGCAACCACTGGGCAATTTGCTACCATGCTACTTCTACAACTCTCCTAGGTAAAGTAGTGGGTACAAACAGATGTCAACAACTTGCCTGGGCCCAGCGGCAGCGTCCTCACAATTTGCATGTCACCACAAATCTCACCTGAGCAATTGCGACCAAACAACTTTTGCAACTTTGCTTGGCTTTTATCAGGGAGAGACTTCAAGTCACTCTTTTCCAGCCTGATCTACCTCACCAGTTTGTTTTGAGGATAAAATGGAGGAAAGGAGAATCATGTAATGCTTTCAATCCCCATTGTATGTGGGGGGAGGTGGGGTATAAATGAAGTAAATAAATAATAGATAAAGCTCAAGACAGAAGAAGAAGGTAAAGGAGAAGTTGGCTGTTGAGTAGGAAAGGGAGAAGAAAGCAAGGAAAGGGGAGAGAATACGGGGACTGCCTAGGGTTGCCGGCTCTGGCTTGGGAAAGTCCTGGAGTTTTGGAAGCAGTGCCTGGAGAGAATAGAGTTGGGGAAGAGATGAAGATTAGTTGTGACATAATTCCGCAGAGCACGCCCTCTGAAGGTACTACTTCTTCCAGTGGAACTGATCTCTGTTGTCCAGAGGTCAGCTATAATCCCAGGAGAACTCCATGCCTCAGAGGTTGGAGGCTGGTAACAACCAGGGCTAAGAAGAAAGGAAAGAAGGAACGGATACATGAAAATGAAGTGACTCCTGCATGTCCTTGCAGTTTCTCTGCTTCTTTTACATAACTTTCTTTTCTAAGCGAGGACTTCTTCTATGGCCTTCTCCCATTCTTTTAATGAAATGCCATGATTACCATTTTGTCATTAATGCTGGATAAAGAGGGAAATAAAAGGCCTTACTGAGGGCTGCACTATATATAATGTGTTTATTTATTTACTAAATCTGTACCCTGCATTTCTCCCCAATGGGGACCCAAAACGGTTTACATTGTTCTCCTCTCCTCCGTTTTATCCTCACAACAGCAGCTCTGTGATGTAGGATAGGCTGTGAGTGTGTGCCTGGCCCATGGTTACACAGTGAGCTTCCAGGGATTGGAACCTGCGTCTCCCAGATCCTACTCTGACTCTCTAATCACTAGACCACATATCCAAAATAATATCTCTCCATCGTTCCTTTTTACCAATATCTCAGAGTTTCAAGTGTTATTTTCAACACAGATCAGGATACAAACAGCTCCCTTAAGGTGCAAGCAAGCACTCTGGTGCATGTACTGGAACCTCATCCTTTTGTTTTCTGATAGTAGCCATCTGAGGCCGAATTTGCATCTAGCATTTGCTCCACTGTCTTACCTGGCTATCTGCGAAAGGTTGAACAAAAGCTGCAGTATCTTTAATTGCACAAATGGTGTCTAAGTACAGCAGGTAGCAGGTTCATGTTATTTCTGGCATCCCAAAGTGAGATTTCAGTAGCTTATATGATCCCGGCTGAATGTGTAACATACTTGGGCAGACAATAAACTACACTTTCCCTTCCAGTACACAACTGGCATAAATCATAAAAAAGAATTTCATGGCAGAAACTTTCATGGATCTCTGGGTCTGCTACTGAAAAAGGTTTGTACTTTTGAGTTTTATTCTCCTGTCTTCTTTTCATGGATTTTCCTGGTCTCTTTGTGCTACACAAACAGTAAACTCTCTACTAATTTGGGGGAAACTCATATATTTAATTCCCTGATTTCCCGCCCCCCCCCCAAACATGACAACTACTTATTATGCCCATCACAGAGTTGTTTGAACTACTACAAATTAGTTTGCAAATTAGTTAAATTTGTTAATAGGGTTCTTCTGGGACATGAATACTATGCTGAAACAATTAACAGGCTCACTGTTATCTGCTTATTTACACAGGTGGGCCTGAAAGAAGAGTATCATGGCTTGAGACATCTACCAATATGTTCATCATTAAAGTTAATAACATTCTTCCTTTTAAAAAGGTGAAATTTAAACTCCATTAATATACTTTTTAAAAAATATCCATAAAATGCCCTCTTTTCTCAAATAGCCACAAAATTGTCATCAATTTTTTAAAAAGTATTACTTACCAATCATTGTGGTTCTGCATATTCATACTTGTGGAGCAAAGATCACAGGTGCTGCTGAGCTTCAGGAACATTCTAGAAAAGCTGTGCCTGTCACATGGCACAGTGCCTCATGGCACTGGATGTTGGAAAGTGAGGTTACAAAAGACCTCATCTTCTGCCACTAGCCTCAGAATCTTATGAAAGCAGCAATTTGGTCAATACAGTTTCTTCTTTCTCCTTTGTGATGGTACCAAGTCCTCTCGCATGGAGACCCTTCGCAAGTGTAGCTTCTTTCTACCCTTATGCCTGAGGTCAGAGGAAAGCAGGACCAAAGCCTCCACAAATTCCAGTAATTGAATCTGAGAAGAGCTTGAAACTGAAAGATGCATAACTAGTAAGGAGCCGTGATGATCCCTGGGAACAAACAACATCAGGTCCCTTGGTACTTACCAACTCAGAGCATCAAAGCCACAATCCTTGGTGCTGAGGTTGCCACAAAATCAGAACTCAAATGTGTCTGACAATGGCAACAAATGCCTCTGCCTCTGAATTTCTGTAGGCCCAGAAAACCCTATTCTAATAATGCAATGGATCAAGTTTTTGTCTGAAAGACAAAGCATGTTGTCTAGCACCAAAGAACTTTTTTCTTAAAAAGTTGGATTTACATGTATTTGTGCATTCAAGACGCACGCTCAAAATCAGCCTGGCAGTCTAATTAACAATTATGGGAGGTGCTCATAAGTGAAGCACAGTAACAGAAGATACACACATTTAGGTCTAGAACGGCAAAGTGGCACAAGAAATGTCATTTGGACTAGACGAAAATAGAGAATGGGAAAAGAATTCAGTAACTATGCAGTGCATAGCGATGCAAAAATTAGCAACCTATTACCACCCAAAATAATCTATATAACAACGTAAGTATTACTGTAAACTAGTACTGATTATCAAACAGAATGGCTCTGTAAAAAGGCAAAATGGAAGGACCAGAACAAAAAACATGATTCTGCACCTGAAATTGCCCAATAAACTGAGGAAAAACAAGAAATACTATGTCCCTGCATACCCCCAACCTGTTAAATGACCTGTCCAACTAAGTTTGTGAAAATATTCAGACACATTTTTTCTTCTTAACTGAAGGTCACCAAAGCTTTAAGCACCACAGAACTCTGCACTCCACAACTAGAACTATGCAGAGACCACCTTGAGAAAGAACTTAAAAATCTTCCTTCTCTCTACAAACATTCAGTTTTAAGAATTGGGTGACTTTCATTAAATTGATCACAAAACACTTCGATAGAAAAACAGACTGTCTAGATGTGTGTGTTTCCTCAGCCATAGTACTCAGTAATATTAGAAGGTGGGCCTTGGATTTGTCTGCTTCCTCCATTTTCCTCTCACTATACGTTTATTTAGGGAGCTGCGGTGGCTCAAGTGGTTAAGACGCTGAACTGCAGGCTGTGGAAGGTCAGTAGTTCAGCGGTTCAAGACCCGGGTGCCGCAAGACAGGGTGAGCTCCTGTCTCTAGTTCCAGCTCCTGCCAACCTAGCAGTTCGAAAGCAAGAAATTGCAAGTAGATAAATAGGGACCACTTCGGTGGGAAGGTAACAGCGTTCCGTGCACCTTGGTGTTTAGTCATGCCGGCCACATGACCACGGAAAACGTCTTCGGACAGCGCTGGCTCTTCGGCTTTGAAACGGAGATGAGCACCACAACCCTAGAGTCGGATTCGACTGGCTTTCGAGCAAGGGAACCTTTACCTTTACCTTTATGCGTTTATTTATATGAACATATGGTCCTCAAGGCGGCATATAAATAATTATTCAGACTTCAGTGTGGGATTGCCTCTAACCTTGGATACCGAAACCTATTTAGTATTTTACTGGTTGTAACTTCACAGTAAAGAAAATTCCCTCAGTCAAACAGCTGTGACAGTTTCTGGTAAAGGCAATCACTTCAATCTGTGGTGAGGGGAAAAGTTTATAAAAGGCCTTCAAAGGACCACTAGTGATCTTCCTGTGTTAGGTGTTCATGTGCTTGAAAATGTACGTGCAGAAGTTGCTGCTAAATAAATGGTCACAGTAAATTCAGCACAAAGTGCAATAAATAAATAAACCATTTTAAATTGATGGTTCATGATAAGCAAAAAGGATGGGAAATGAACCCATTAAAATTTTGATTAAATACACTGTGAAAAGATATTTGAGGAAAGGAAAGGGGCCACTGGCTATGGTACAAAGTATTGAATGAGATAAATCGGTATCAGGGGAAAGCTAAACAAGAACTTTTATGGTTGGCACCACAGCTGCTCTATATAGTATAATGTTCTCTAGGAAAAAATGCTCAAGTCTTACAAACAATAAAAATTATATTCTGAATGTTACATTAGGAGAAAATTAAAAAGGAATTCATAACTCTAATGTAAATCAGAAACAAACACTTCTGCAAATATGGATGATTCATCTTGAATGCATCTGCTTACTATTTGAAATAGATGACTGGGTAGCTTTGATAGTAAGATAAAACTGTGAGAGGAAAAAAGAGGGACAAGACAGACATTTACTCATTCTGAGAATGGGTAACTGTCTCTAGGTCAAAAGAAAAAGATGAGATCCTTCTGTTTGTTGAAAACATATTCCACAAAAGATATTTACAATATCAAACAAGGACATAAAATCCAATGAACATATTCCACAAAAGATATTTACAATACCAAACAAGGACATAAACCAAAACAAGATAAATTTAAACTAGAAATAAAAAGCAAGTACAATCCCACCAAAATTAGTACATTGACACTTTGGTTGTCATTGGAAGGAGTTAAGCACATGCTTAACCTTTGTTTGAAACTAATGTTATTTTAAAAAGTCTAAATCAAGTCTACAGAAATGCAACTTTATAATGATATTTTAGGCCACCACCAGTTTACAAGCTATTTAGTTCAGGGCATATCACTCAAAGACTTCACATGAACACTGGCTAACTTTGCAAAACAGAGGGAACTGATTTAAATCACCAACAGAAAAAAAAGTTAAGGGCCAACAGCAAGTTATGTTGGTCTGTTATTGCATATCCTGCCAGGATAGTTGGTCCAAAAAAGGAGGAACAAGAAGGGGCAGTGTAATTTAGATCACAGCACCAGGGTGAAGTTTTATTTTTTGTCTTTTAAAAAAACTCACTCTGTTCCCCCATGCTGTTTTCCTAATTGAGACCAGCTCTCCTAGTAGGTAAGAAAACAGGAACCTGTCTTTGCTTGTCTTTTCCATTCTTTACTGGGACTAATTCCCCCTTCTGGGGTGGCTGATGGAGAGAATCAACACTCCTTTGCCCAGTGCCACAGTCCCAAATCAAATCTGATTACCGATCTCCAACATAATGACTATTTATTCCATTAAAAGAGATAGTTGAAATCAAGTTTCCTGTTTAAATAGTTCTTAAAACGTAATAACTAGTTGATGAAACCAGTAAGACATGTTGATTTACAAAAAGTTAGAACCTTTATACAGCCTAGGAGGGTGCATTTAAATTATATCTGTGCACATGAAATAAGATCTGAGTAAGATTATTTACAAGTGCCTAGAATTTTCAGTGAGCAAGAGCTGGCAGTTTGGGGGCAAGTAAGCAGTTGGTAGGAGTGGAAGGTAAATGGCCATGTTGATTGGTTTGTAGGTAATATGGTTAAATATTCTTAATTGAAGAACTGAGCAAAATGCAGAGATATGAGGTATCAGAAGGTAGAACAGCGTTACTCAGATTGAGGATGTTCTTTGGACTCCATTTTGTGCCTTTAATAGCAGTCCTGTATGTAGAAACAAGACTGGTGAAGCCATGAATCTCTGCTTCTCTACGCTGTAAAAAGACCCAACTTCCTTGACAGTGCAATCCTAAACATGGTTCTCTAAGCCCCCTGAAGTCAGTACAGACATAATGAAGATCATGGATATCTGCCTTTAAATGGTAATTGACAGGTGCATTTCAGGTTGAAGCTACATATGGAAACGATGATAAGCATTTAACTCTTTAAACCCCCCCCTATGATTTCGTTAACTTATATTACCCCCCCCCCCCCAACACACTATTAGCACCTCACAATAATAAGTGGTCCTTTGAAAAATGTGGATTTTTTAAAACTTAAGTGTAATTAATAGCATGTGTGCGCACAGCAATGAGTAGTTGCCCATTAACAAATCTATGTCGAACAAAAGGGTTAAATCCTCTTTTCCTATCATGTGTGTCCTTAATTCAGATTGTGTCCCTAGAAACCATCTTTCAAAGATGAACAGAAATGCAACACTTCTGCCACATCTTCTTTGGCCCTCAGGCTGCTATTAAAGACCACAAGACTGCAGAAACAATGACAGAAAAGGTGGACATCTTACATTACCATCCTAAGCAGAATTACGCCCTTTTAAATTCACTGACTTACATGGACTTAGAAGGGTGTAACTCTGTTTAGGACTTAACTGTTACAGTGTAATCCTAAACACATCTAATCAGAAGTAAATCCCACTGAATTCAATAGGATTTACTCCCAAAGTAGATGTGCACAGTTCTGAAATATCTGCAAAAGTTCAATTTTAATAATTTCTTTATTATTTACTGGAGTTTATATTTTGCTATCCAGGGAGCCATATGATTAATAACTCTTACAGTTCTCTAACTTGATGAATTTATGTTCCAATGAAACCTGTTTCATTAAAAGGATCAGTATGTATTCATGCAACTGAATTTTAGTAATGGCTGCAAAAGACTATGATAATGGTGATGAGATTAATTTCTACTAATGAACATGAACATTCCAGTTGGAAAACTCCAAAAATATTTTAACCTAACAATAGAGTTAGTTTTACTGCTGAATTTCAAAGTATAAAGCATTAATGTATCTAAAGTTTAAAAAGAAAATAATAGAAGCAACAAAAATATGAAACAGTTTTATATGAGATGGATTTACTCACCTTGATCTCTTTCATGCCATGTCCTACTTCCAGCAGCTGGTGAATTTGGGGAAGGATAAAAGTCCCCTGTTGGGCTTGGTTCCATATTCTCATCTATGGATATAGTTTTGGGTCTCTTACTGTAAATGAACAAGAATTATTGGGAACTGATTTTAATAAACTTCTGTATATGATTTAAAACAAACCCAGCACAGAAAACTCCACCAGAACATTACATATCATGTCCAAAGCTATCTATTGATAAATTAGAATATGAATTTGCTTGTCTTCCACTCCCAAACCCTATGGTTCACATGATACTCTGAGGTTATGCCTATTTTTCTTGTTAGCATAAATTTCTCTAAATTCCCAGAAGTATTGTTTCTAGCATACTATCTGTCACAAAATACTTTGAGAGTACTGATAATCTAATTACAAAACTTGACATTTAAAAGCTGCCATCCTATTTCAGTGATTTATGATGATATCATATATACTTGATTTATGATGATATCATATAACATATATATGCCGGTCGGCAGCCCCAACCCCTGTAGACATGTGGCCTTAGCTAGGGATAAATTTGGAACTTGTAAGCCGCTCAGAGACCCTTCGGGGTTGGAGCGGGGTAGAAATCGAAGATATAAATAAATAAATAAATATATCTTTCTATACTTCTCAGTCTCAACATTTTCTTTGACTATTTGCAGTAATTTTATTAGTCTTTATAATTTTTTCAAAGTGTACATAACAAGTTATACAAATTCACAAGGCCTGAGACAACACAATAAAAATAAATAATAAATCAGGAAACAATTTCAAACAACTAACAAAGAGGAATAATAATGTGAAAAGAAGCCAAAATAAACTTCCCTTCAAGTACTCTCTCCCAAAAAATCTTCCCCAAACAGATCCATAGTACAAATCCCTCAACAAAGAGAGAAATATATGTAAATACAACTAATTCCAAGAATCACTCAGAATACAATCAAATCTAAATTTGATTTGGAATTTAAAACGTAGAGTTCTACTCAATATAGAACAGGAAAATAAGTTAAATTTTAGCACACTGTCTGGGTCTGTTTGGTCTCTTAAGTAATCAAGTCAGCCTTTTCTTTTTCTTTTTTAAAGTTTTTTTAATTTGACAATTTGTATTTAGTATATAGTCAGCATTTTCAAGGCTAAATATTTACAGCTGAATCTGAATTAAGCTTTACACTAGTTGTTGAATGTTCTGAGCGTAAACGACTGCCACTGTATTTATTAAGTGAGATGTTTAAAAAAGAAAGAGGTAATTACCTATCAGTGTTGTCCTAAACAGTGTTACACCCTTCTGAGTCCACTTAGGTGAATGGAATCAGACAGGTGTAACTCTGCTCAGGACTGCATGTAAATGAAATATTTTGTTTTGAAATTTTTCCTATATTATACCAGTGTACATTGAGTTCATAATAATTTTAACAGAAATTTGTCTACACACCACTAATTAAAAATATAATTGTATGGTACATATAACAAGGGCAAAGTCATAATCCATCTGCAATATTACATAGCCGCATCCATCACAGACACTTTTTTTTTGGTAGCATGCTCACCTAGTCGGTGGAGAGGACAGTGATCTCTGCAGGTTTACACTTGAGTTCATATCATGATAGTATGGTTGGCTCGGAAGTTCTCCAATTGGGAAGTTCACTCCAGCTCCCTGGGTTATAGGCGCTAAACAACATAGCATTAAAAGGGTTATTCCTGCTTTCTAGATGTCTAAAGGCCACAAGATTTTAAAAATTACACTAAATCCTTTTGCCTGTAAAGGAGACCAGTATGAAACTAATTTGATCTGTTCGGGTAATCTGAAAATAAATGATCTATTTATGCATTTCAAAAGGTTGCATGCCGCCTCTCCAGAGACCAGTTTGAGGCTGCTAATGCCTGGAAGGCCACATGGTCATGTAGTTATCTTGCTTTACATGTAACTTTTTATGCAATCCATACCACATGTTTATGTTGTATATGCTTATTCATAATAAACTTTGGAATTCATCATTTCATTCTATAGGCAGTAATAAAATGTTGCAATAATTTTAAAATATGACAAATATATGCTTGCTTCTATTGATAAAGCAATGCCTACTGGGAACCAAACTCTTCTGTGATATAAATGATTATATTACATGCTGTATGTATTATGTTAATATATATGCACACATAACACTATTTGCTTACAATTAATACTACGGTTTGGATCTGATACTTTACATTAATGGAAACAATTCTCCCCAGAACCTACTCTTCATCCTTATTCCTCAGCAGCCTCCTGCATTCCCAATACATCACTGCAGAGGGTCTGGACACCCTCCACAGTAGGATGTCTACACGGAAAGTGCAGAAAAGGGCAACTAAAATGATAAAAGGGTTGGAACAATTTCCCTATGAAGAAAGGTTAAAGCACTTGGGGCTCTTTAGCTTGGAGAAACGATGACTGAGGTTTATAAGATTATGCATGGGATAGAGCAGGTCGAGAAAGAAGTACTTTTCTCCCTTTCTCACAATATAAGAACTCGTGGGCACTTCATAAAATTGCTGAGCGGTCGGGTTGGAACAGATAAAAGGAAGTACTTCTTCACCCAAAGAGTGATTAACACATGGAATTCACTGCCACAGGAGGTGGCGGCTACAAGCATGGACAGCTTCAAGAGGGAACTGGATAAACAGATTCAAGAGGGAACTGGATTCTCATAAGAACGAAGGAGGTCGATTCTTGATACTTCTTGTCATAGCATATGGCAGAAGAACATAAGAGAAGCCAATGTTGGATCAGGCCACTACGGCCCATCTAGTCCAACACTCTGTCACACAGTGGCCAAAAATACCAGGTGCCATCAGGAGGTCCATCAGTGGGGCCAGGACACTAGAAGCCCTCCCACTGTTGCCCCCCCCCCCCAGCCCCAAGAATATAGTGCATTACCTGCCCCAGCCTGTGAGTTCCTATCTATACCTTGTGGCTAATAGCCACTGATGGAGCAGAGGTAGTATCAAGAATCGCCCTCCGTTTTTATGAGAATGTCCACTTGTGCAAGAGGGAAGCAGGGCAGAGTCTGCCTTCTTATTGAAGCTACTGGTGTCACATGACATCATGCTCTGGAAGGTCCTCAGTCCTTCTGTAGTGCCATTTATGAGAGTCAGGAAGCTGCTGAGGGATGGATAATCCCATGAACTTGCTCCATTGGCATAAATGCAGGATATAAACCCATATACTTGCTACTTGGAAAAGCAAAAAAATTCAAATCTTAATTTGCTTGATGCAAACTGTAACCCCAGATACATTAGAAATGGGCTATTTTCACGTGCTACAGAACATTTACTGTTTCTAAATAACAGGAATGATTTTTATAATTGTTTAATGCTTGACAATATAGTTATTAGTTCAGGTGATACTATAAAGGAAGATAAATAGGCAACCATGATATCTTGCCCAACAGCTTTGGGGATGGATCAGCAGAACCTCTACTGCAGAAGAAGGTGTAGTGTATCAATGGACATCATGTAAATCACCATCGATTCACAAGTGACAATGAAATATCTTTACATATCCACAGAGAAGGCATGCCAGTAGCATCACACCATGTTAGTGTCAAGAGTGAGCCTTGAACTTGGGCTTATGCATTTCCTCCCTCTATCATCTGTTCTAATTCACTTCATTTGCAACCGTTGATTGTACAGCAAAGGAAAATAATAGTTTGCCTATTCATATGTAATGACAAACTATGGTTTGCATTAAAGAGAGAAAGTTAATTGAACTGGACTACATGACAGGAGAAAGGGGGGGGGGCGCTCCGTCAGGTAAAAACATTTAATCCTGACTCAACTATTTTACACACAGAAATGTGGGTGACTCGTTTCACTAAGAAGTCTTGCTCCAGGAAAGTCATAACCCACTATTTTACTGGTACACAAATACTACTCCTAATGTACTTATTTGCTAGCAAATATCTAAAACAAAATTTATCAATACTTCTATATATTTTTATTTATTATATTACTTATTAGCATACAGAAATACATTGTTTTATCAATTTCTATCATGGTCTATAATTAATACTTTCTGGACATCCTTTAAGAATTTTGATAAACTTTTTGGGGTAATCATTTGAATACCTCTACCCGATACCTCTTAAATCATAACTGAGACTGTTACTCATATGCTTACAATATTATTGCTTAAACCTCAGTTCCTTGGCATGGGGCTATGGCTCAGTGTTAGAATATATGCTTGGCAAACAAGGTCCCAGGTTCAGTCCTCAGCATTTCCGGTTAAAAGGATCAGTTACGAGGTGACCTGAACAATCTTGACCAGAGACCCAGCACTGACCTTGATAGACCAATAGTCTGACTCATTATAAGGCAACTTTGTGTTCACAAGTTTGTCACAATTTCATCAAAAAGTTGGTGCAGTAAGCCATACTTCTATTGTGAACCTTATATTATGAGAGGTTATGTTCAATTAGCTTTATGTAATATTCCTTCTGCATATATAACCTAAAGAACTCAAAAAGATGGACAGTTGCTCAAAGCCAAACAGTAAATTTACAAAATTTCATTGCTGTGATCTTCAATATTCAAGCCCAACAATACAGACACTGAACCTCACAGGCCCCACAAACACTGCATTATACACTGTCCCTAATAAAAATAACAAACTCCTCAATTGAAATATCTTATTTAAATTTCAGGAGAATGGGGGATAAAAAGACTTCACAGACATCTGTCCAGATGTCTACTGGCCTTTTTATTTTGCAGTTTGGTCTGGGAGTAACATGAAATCCTTTTAGATATAATTAGAAATAATTACTTTACATGAATTATGTCTTAAAGAAGAATATACTTACTTCTGGACACCCGCACCAATTCTGACACATTGAAGACTCCAGATTTTACGAAACTATCCTCAAGATACACTAGAAGGAAAAACATGAAAATGCAATTAATGCTTTTGATAAACAAAAAAGATAAACAATCTAGCAGTAACAAATGCAAGAAGTCTTTCTAGAAATAAAACTGATAAATTAAGGGAGCAATTCTAAAGCCGGTAAGTCAACTGCTTGGAACAGCAACTAAGTTCCACACTGGCATAACTAAGAGATAATGGTGGCATATCTGGAGATATCTTATATTCTAATATTCAAGTGTGGCCAAATCTTCAGCTATCTAATTCTGCACACTGGAACCACAAAACAAATGTTCATGAAAACTTGGGGGACCCCCCAGGTTTGCAGAAAAATCTGAAAAAGAAAATAAAAAAACTGGAAGGGGGGTTTACAATCTCCTCAAATAAGACCATTGTCTACATATGCCCAGACAAAGCTGTTCCTTCATCCCCCATGCTACTAAGGCAGTAAAGCTGCAGACAGGCAAGTAGTAGTTGCCGCCACTACTGAGGTGGTGAAAGTGCCAAGTGAGTCACTGCCACTGCTGAGGCAATGAAGCTGCCAAGCGGGTGGGAGACTGCCAGGCGGGGGCTTGGCTAGCTGCCACTCCTGAAGCAGCAAAGCTGCCAGGCAGATGAATGTTCCTTCATTGGCCTGCTGCTTGGGGTGGGGGGGGGAGGAGCACAAGTAGTGACAGTTGTCTGTTGATGGCACCAGACTCATGGCTGCTCCCCCAACATTGACACTATAGGTGCAGGTCCAGGTAGAGAGGCTTCCATGGCTGGGCTCCAGACAGCCCCCCCCCAAATCATCTCCAGGGCCAGCACAGATCCCAGAGGCTCTGCTGGCACCAGTGTGGCCAATGCAGCTCTCCTAGACTCCTGTCGCTGGGGAGGCTGCCACTGAAGGATCTGGTGCCTTGCAGCAGCCCTGAGAAGACATCGGCTTTATGAAGTGAGAAAGAGAAGGGAGAAAGAGAAGGGAAAAATTGACAGATAAGGGTTGGGGGAGAAAGAGAGAGGGAGAAGAGTGACATAGAATGAGAGAGGAAGGCGGGGGATCCCCACCTATGCGGATATAACACCCAACTGAACCATCGTAAAACTGGTGCCAGTGTGCTGGCATAGGGTCTATAACTGGGCAGCACCAGAGTATGCTGAGGGAAGAGCAAGTGTTAGTTGCTAACCTATGACCCCTCAACCAATGTGTGGTGCCCGGTTCTGGTGTAATATTATACTGGTGAAAATGCTAATGTAAGCATAAACACCACAGCCACATTGCAATTCAAGACAATAAATCTGCAGCCAATCACAACTTTCCTAAGCACAATATAAACCTCAGCCAGAATATCCATATCTCAAATGCTAGGGTACACAGCATGGGATTACATCTCTCTGATTATGTCAGGTGCACTTAGAGTACACAGGAAGCCTTTTATGGGAATTCTAGAGAAAACGGCACTTTTCACAAACAGGCAAGGAATAAACAAACATTGTTCTGTTGTATCACAAACATTGTTTTGTTGTGTCACTAACATTGCTTTCTCAGAACTCTACTTGTACTTTAAAGAACAACTCAAACACCAGCCAGATCCTTAACTCTTCCCGCTGAGGATGTAAGGACAAAGCACATCAAACAGGTAGGCAAAAGTGGAGGATCCATTAGCCCAATCTTTGCTTACTGCAAATGCCTTCTCTTCATCCCTGTACTGCAACATGTATGTCTTATGTATTTGCTCCACAACACCTCTTCCATCAGCAGTTGCCAGCAAAGTCTCCACTCTCCCACACAATAGCAGACTGTCCTGCCTTGGAGATATGCAGGCAAAATATCAGGGCGATGTCAGCATAACTCTGGAACTCTTTCCCCAAACAGACTCACCTGTCCCCAACTGTTCTGTTCGACTGTTTCCTCAGTGATCCCGCCTTCCTGTTTTTATGTTTTTGTATGCATATTTCAGCTTGGTTTTATTTTTTTAATCATGTGGTTTTGCTTGGTTTTAATGGTTTCAAAGATGTGTTTTGATTATACATGTTTTTAACCCGTTAACAACCTTGATGGCCCTAATGAGGGCCACAAGGTGGGGTATAAATGTTGTAAAAAAATTACATTATGCCAATGTAATCCCACATACAAGCAGAAGAAACAGGGAGCATAGCAACATTTCTGGGTGACTACCTGCCACTCCAGCCACTGCAACTGCAGGCCAAACACTCAAGACCATCTGTTGCCTTGCTGAATCAGAGCCCCATGGAACAGTCAAAACTGCAAGTACAACAAAAGTTCCAATGCAACTTTCTACAAAGGATGGGTAAGTACTGGCCCAATGACAACATTATATCCTTCAACAGGTAAATCCTGCAGTGTGGGAATCCACAAGGGAGGATTGTAGGAACTGAAAGCATGTAGATAATACCAGTGTCCCAAGTCTGTGGCTCACATCATGTGCAGACTGAACCAACAAGCCATCTGTTGGAACTGCTGGACATTTAGTACTGTTGTGTCTAGTTTGGAACTAAAAAGGTCTATCTTGGCTTGGAAATAATCACTGCCTTCAGGGGGTGCCATTTTCCAGACTATGTAATTTCTATGGCCAGACGAGTCTGCAAAAAGTACCAACACTCACCCCAAAATGCATGTTCCCTGCATTAACTCTTGGTTAAAATCAAAAACCAAACTTGAGTTTTCCCCACTAAAGAGCCCTACAAGGTCAGTAAGTGTGTTCAACTTGATGGCAAGGTAGCCCAAATTATCATTATTTTGTCACTGACTTTATTTGATTTCCTTTCTCCTTTTCGTTAGAAATTCTAAAGTGAATTTAGGAATGGGAAGTAAATGTAGCATAAGCTAAGACATATAAGCAAGCAGAAAGCACAAGGTAGCAGCACTCATTCTTTCTGTGTTTCAGCAGCAGCCACAAGAAAACAAAATGGTTTTGTTAGGCAGCATGGTAAATACAGAAAAGGAGAATATTATAGTCTCTGTGTTTATCCACCAAAACAGGCAATGCTGAGATATAAGGCAGAAGAAGGTGAAGTAATCTTTTCACCATAAAGAAGGACAGCAATTTACTTCATTTCAGCAACAAGAAGAAAACTGTCTTCTCTTGTCCTGAGCACTTTCCCATGCCCGGGGGGGGGGGGGGGGGGGACCCCCCCGCTTTTAACCCTACTAGTCTTAATATTACTTTTACACACTATTGCCTGGAAAATGAAAGCAACCAGTCACTCATCAAGATGGGTTGTATCTCAGAAGGTTTTTATAGCCGGAGAATAAAACTTTCTTAGAAAATAATGCAACCCCCTCCTACAATTTCTGTTTAAAATGTTAAATCAGCTGTTCTTCCATCTTCTCCAGATAAGAATAACAGAGCTTAACCTACAACAAGACAGTACAAAATAGTTCATACATCTGATACTATGCAGTATTATACATCGTCCCTGGCACTCTGTTCTACAATTCAAGTTGAATTCCAAAGGTGCCTTTGAGTACAGGAAGGTAAACACAATATGTTCAAGCACCAGGAGAATTTGATAATGATATCTAGTTAGTCAATCCACTATGACTGTGTACCAGACTTCCAGCTGTGTGACAGAAAAAACATTTTACATGAGTAAAGTGCTGATGTTTGTTGTAGAGGCAGTAAAAGATAATCAACAGAATAGCTTTGCTAACTCTTGAACATGAAAGCATTTGATGTTATGCATGAATGACTATGCTATACATACCTTCTGGGTACTAACTTTTATTAGGAGCAATGCTTCGGTTTTACATCAGATTATTATCATGCATGCAAGGAGAAAGAAATAGCTTTTTGTTTTCTCCAAGCAGCATGGTGATTTTAGACAAAGTCATCATTAGACGAAGTAATCTTGCATTTTTAACATTAACACAAAAAGACATTTAAATTCACCTTCCTGGTATTTATTTCTAAATTATCCCAGTCTGATGGTCAGAGCCTTCACTATTTAAACCTAATATAAGAATACAGCAGTGTCAGTGACTAAAAACTAATTTTGCTCAAGAGATAATGTCATGTGGAAGAGTATAATTCACTAATTATTATCATTGCTAAATTTAAAATCTGGTGAAGGAAAAGAAATTTGCTTGCAAAAATCTGAACAATATAATTTGTTATAATCAGAGGGTCAATCAAATGAGATGCTTCTATATCTATAGACCAAAGAGCTGGGACAAGGGAGAGGTTAATTGCCTTCTTTTTCAAGGAGGTGTGAAAACCCCTACTTTAATACTACAATTATGAAGCTGGTGTCATTGTGAATACCGGGCAAAGAACCAAGTACTATGTGCTCCCCATTTCTCAGAGACAAGTTCTGAGAAAATTGTCATAACAAAGCCTGTGAAAAGGAGTACCTGGAGGTTATGCTATCTTTTGAAAAGGCAAGCTGGTAGTTAAAAAATGGATTTTCTTCCACTCAAACATCAACTGTATCAACTATAAGTCTTGAACGTTTACCGTATAAAACATACAGTGCTTCCAAGGCTTACCCTCTTTCAGTATACTTTATTACTGCAGTAACTTGTACAACAAAAGAGCTGGCTTTCCAGTTACTTCAATTACTTACCTTCCTATTCCAGTATTTACATATCTTATCCCATTGAACATCTTTCAATTTTACTATACTTTTATGAACAGAAATTACTATGTATTTGCTTATTCGCCTCTGTTCCTGGTATCACAGAAGACTGTTAATATGTCTTCATACTGGACAGATCATATGGAGTTGGAAATGATCCAATCTACTGTAGTGTGGTTTTTCCCCTGTCAAGTCACAGCTGACTTATGGAGCTCCATAGAGTTTTTTAAGCAAGAGATATCCAGAGGTGGTTTGCCATTGCCTGCCTCCGCATCATGACCATGGTAGTCTCCCATCGAAATACTAGCTGGAGCCAATGCTCCTTAGCTTCCAAGATCTGATGAGATTGGGCTAGCCTGGGCTATCCAGGTCAGGATGAAGTGTGCTTAGACACTACCTTATATAACAATGTAATTGTATGACAAAACTATC